GGGAGGAGTGGAGCCGCAAGGTGTGCAGTGAGATGGCCAACTGGGTTCTCGTAAGGGCGCCAGGTTAGTCCTGGTGGGCTCCCCCNAGGTTAGTCCTGGTGGGCTCCCTTTGCCCTTCACCTGGCATTAGGCTGCCTCCTCATCTGGTTGTGGCTCTCCAAGAGTCTCCTGAGGGCACCCTTGACTTCCTTGTTCCTGAGGCTATAGATCATGGGGTAGAGCATGGGAGTTACATTGGTGTAGATTAAGGACACGATTTTGTCCTGTTCCGGGGTGTAGCATGACTTGGGGCGAATGTAGATGAATATTGCACAGCCATAGTGCAGAAGAGAGACCAGCAGGTGCCCAGCACAGGTGGAGGAGGCTTTGCTTCTACCCTCGGCTGAGTGGATTCTGAGGATGGCAGCGATAATGAATGCATAGGAGAGCAGTATCAGCAAGAAGGGAATCAACAGGATGAGCATGCAGACCAGGAAGACTGCAATCTCATTGGCTCGTGTGTCTGAGCAGGCCAGGAATAACACAGCAGGGACGTCACAGAAGAAATGATTGATCTCAAGGGACCGACAGAAGGGCAAGAGGAATATTAGTGTGGTAAGGGTGAGTGAGAGTGCAAAGCCACTGACACATGCCAGAGCCAGCATCTGCAGACAGAGGGCCTTGGTGATGATGAGTGTGTAGCGCAGGGGCTTGCAGATGGCTACAAAGCGGTCATAGGCCATCACAGCTAGGAGGAAACACTCTGCTCCTCCCAGAGCAATGAAGAGGTGCATTTGCAAAGCACAGCCCACGATGGGCATCCGCTGGCTGCTGGACAGGAAATTGGCCAGCATGTTGGGGACAATGACCAATATATAGCAAATTTCTATGGTGGACAGATTGCGAAGAAAAAAATACATGGGGGTCTGGAGGCAGGAGTCAATGAGGGTGACAAGCACAATGGTTGTGTGCTCTACTAGAGTGACAAGATGCATGATTAAAAATAGTCCAAAAAAGAAGATTTGCAGTTCGGCGAGATCCCCAAAGCCCAAGATAATAAACTCGGAGCTTAAGGTGTGGTTTTTCTGCAGTGGAGCCATCCTATATTCTCTGTAGTACTCCTGGGCTGGAAAAGGCCGTTTTTCTAGCAATTCCTGAAGTTGTGGGAGACTCTGGAGCTGTTTCCACAGATGAGAGTGTAGCCACCTCTCCAGGGCCTCCAACCCAATTTGCCAGGCTTGGCCCTGGTCTACATTCTATGAGCTTCTTAAATTTTGCCCTCTGCTCACTGAGAATAAAGAACTGCTGATTGTGATGTCACTTTAGTTCACCTGTTGAATTATTACAAAAATGAACCAAGATAAGTAAAGTCCACACATGGAGTTGTTTTTCATCGACTCTAATGATAGTCTTTCTGTCTACATTTTGAAGAGTTGTCTGGGTGGGGATACACTGAGGTTGTTACTAAATAGTTTTAAATAAAGGAGACTGGGCCTAATTCCTGTTTGATATAAGGCCTGGCAGTTTGATAGTAAATACACTTTTTACTTTGTGCATTAGCTATATTGTCCTTCCTTTACCATCACCACCCTCCAAACTCCCAGGACTCCTGCATCCAAAGGGCTGTGAACGCAATGCCCAGAGAGGAAGAAATGTAATCAGTAATAGTTGCTGCCTCTCCTGTTTCAGCACTCCTCAGTTGCAGGGAGGCCCCAGCTTGTGTGTCACCTCCTTCCAGACACCTGCCCTGATCCCTAAGCTGAGTTAGTCCCTCCCTTAGGTATCCAGCACTCCAGGCTTCTCCAAGCATATTGCTCACATCTGAGTCCTGTAATTCTTTGATTATTTCTCTATCTCAACAGCCTTTGTGCTCCATGATGGCAAGAATGACGTCTTATTCAACCTCTCAAATAGTGGCTGGCACATATCAGAAGCATTGATGAATGTTTGTTGAATAAATAAATGCCTGTTGCTTTTTTCTGCATCCTCTACAGTTAGTACAGCATCAGGCATTGAGTAGGTGCCTAACATACATGCTTGAATAAATCGTTGAGTAAAAGCAGGAAATCTTTGATTATTGGGGATGGCTGAGGTCATGATCGTCCAGGGAGGGCATAGAGTCAGAAGAGCAGAGGCACAGGGTGGGCCAGGTCAGAGGGAGGGAGCAAATAGGACAGAGGTAAGAGAGAGAGTCAGGGTGGAAATGAGAACTCACAGGAAAATGGGGGGTTGAGTGCCTGGCAGGACAGTGGCTTTGGCTGCTCTGTGTCTAGAGTGTGGAAGCAAGGGGATAAAGCCAGGCAGCTTCCTGGACTATAGGGACATGTTTGCTTTTTTCTTCCTTTGACAGGACCCAGGTTACAAGTAGGAAGCCTTGTGTTTAGCCTTCAATTTCTTCCTGTGCATATCCCCCTCACAGCAGAAGAGAGGAGATTTCTAGATTCTAGAGAACTAACAAATCTAGAATTAATAGGAGATAAGGGTCCCATGGAAGTGGAGTTGTCACCTAAAGGACAGGAACTCTCTTAGAGACATACAGTTTTTCCCAGGGCTAGTGAGACTCAAAGTGGGCTCAGTGAAACCTGAAAACCCATCCTGATAATAGGCTGAGACAACTGTTGTGATTCCAATTTTGCAGCCACTTTCATGTTTCGCTGAGTATTATTTCGGTTTCTATTGACCTAATGGGCACCTGGAGTCTTTGAGCTGTACAGGTCCCTAGAGGGCAACTTGCCCACTCCTCCCTTCAGAATAGATGATCATGAAGTCTTCTTCTCCATTACTGGCCCTGTTCAGAAATCACACAGCCCAGCCTGGCTTTCTTCCTCTGCCACTTCCCTCCCCTCAGCCTCTTGTTCATCCCGTGATAATTGTCTATGAGTGAGAGTGTGCTTTCTGGGTTCATGTTTATCTTCTTTGGATTTGGACCGGACCCTTGGTTTTAGCTTTCCCACATCAACTCACTTCCACTCTATTTCCCATGAAAGAATGTGAGGACTTCTTCTTTGATTTGGCCCTTAAACCTTGAAAATATTGAGAAGCACAAAATGGAAGTAAAAGTCACACATAATCCAAACACTTAAAAGTGAGAAGTGAGCCCAGCTGGGCGTGGCTCAGCAGTTGCGCTTCGACCTAGGATCTAGGCGCTCAGGGTTCGATTCCCGGTCAGGGCACATGCCGGGTTGTGGGCTGCAGCCAATCAATGACTCTCTCATCATTAATGTTTCTATCTCTCTCTCTCTCCCTCTCCCTTCCTCTCTCTGAAATCAATAAAGATATATTTTTTTTAAAAAAAAAAAAGCAAGAAGTGAAAGTCAGTGTGAAAGTTGATGCTCCTTTGATGCTACCCATTCTCCCAGAGAGAACCATTCTTAGCTGTGAGGTTCAGTTCCTTTCCTGCTTTGTTCTGTGCATGTAAACACACAAACCTCACACACACATACACATGAATACACTCACACATGTACGCACCCCCACACACATACACACTCACACACATGTACACACACACGTGTACATACATATACATGCATACACAAAACAAACATGCTCATACATGTAAACACATAAACATAGACACACACAATACACACATGCAGATATGAACACATACACATGCACACACACATGTATACACATATTCACATACTCACATGTGTATATATAGATAAACATTCACTGTACTTGTACATGACAAAGCTTAAATGATATTATAGTTTACAAGCCTATTGCCCTTAGGGTTTTGACCTAATAAGATGTCTGGAAGAGGTTTTCAGCCAGTGCATATTGGTTTACTTCATTCTTTTTAACTAGTGCATTCTACAGTATGGATGCATTATAAGATAATAATTATAATCAAATAACAATAACAAATACATAATAACAAATAAAGTCTATAAACAAAAGTAAATACAAAATCAAAATAAATAACTTAGACTTTTGTTACTTTGGCATTGAAGTGATTTTTAAGTGTTTATCTCACTCCATGGTACAACGCACATCCTCACATAGAATGTAGGGCAGCTGCCCGTCTGGAATATGGCTAGTGTGTCCCCCCTGCTCTTTTCTCGTACCCCTTGAACAGCCCTGGATAACAGACTTGGTGTTACCTGGAAGGGGCAGATCAGTGCATGAAGTAGAAATACGGGGAGAAGCCCTGTCAGGGATTCTTCTGTTACCATCTGTTGTTAGTAAGAAGTCCAAGGAGGAACAGCCCATCTTTGGGAGAGCAGTGGTGGAGCCCAGCGGCCTGGACCTGGCAGCACAGCTTCCCAGAGCCCAGAAGGTGGCTTTCCTGCATGTCTGGACCGTAGGAAGCAGCCCTCAGAAGTATTGCCTGATGGCTATTAGGAAGGGAGTGTCCTTAGAGGAGTTGCTATGTTCTGTCACTCATGTTAAGTAGAGGTGAAGGCAGGACTCCAGAAGTCCTAGAGGAGACATCAGGAAGGAGGCTATCCCTGTGGTCCACCCCACCAAGGGGAGTGCCTTCCTCAGGTCACGTAGCTCAAACCCAATTACTTACATTTCTTTAAAAAAAAAAAAAAATACAGTAAAAATGAAACTAGACTAGTCCCTTACACCATGTTCAAGAATAAACTCAAAATGAATTAAAGACTTAAATGTAAGACCCAAAACCATAAAACTCCTGGAAGAAAACATAGGCAGTAAACTCTCTGACATTGCTCTTAGTAATATATTTTCTGATATATCTCCTCGGACAAGGGATACAAAAGAAAAAATAAACAAATGGGACTACATCAAACTAAAATGTTTTTGTACAGCAAAGGAAACCATCAACAGAACACAAAGACAACCTTCTGATTGGGAGAACATATTCACCAATGATACATCCAATAAGGGGCTAATATCCAAAATGTATAATGAACTCATACATTATAGTTTATATTTAACAGCTCTCCCAAACAATCCAATTAAAAGAAGGGAAAAGGACCTAAATAGACACTTTTCCAAAGAGGACATACAGATGGCCAGTAGACATATGAAAAGATGTTCAATGTCACTAATCATCAGAGATATGCAAATTAAAATCACAGTGAGATATTTCCTCACACCTATCCGAGTGGCTATCACCAATAAATCAACAAACAACGAGTGTTGGTGAGGATGTGGAGAAAAAGGAACCCTCAAGCACTGTTGGTGGGAATGCATACTGGTGCAGCCGCTATGGAAAGAGGTATGAAGGGTCCTTAAAAAATTAAAAATAGAACTACCTATTACCTAGCAAATACACTTCTGGTTTTTGTGTTTTTTTTTAACTTTTTAAAAAAATATATCTTTATTGATTTCAGAGAGAGGAAAGGAGAGGGAGAGAGAGATAGAAACATCAATGATGAGAGAGTCATTGATCGAGCCCACAACCCGGGCATGTGCCCTGACCGGGAATCAAACCCCGATCACCTGGATCCTAGGTCGACGCTCAACCACAGAGCCACGCCTGGCCGGGCCACTTCTGGTTTTAATACTAATTCAAAAAGATATATACACCCCTATGTTCATTGCAGAATTATTTACAATAACCAAGATTTGGAAGCAGCCTAAGTGTCCATCAGTAGAGGAGTAGATAAAGAACTGTGGTACATATATACAATGAATTATTACTCAGCCATAAAAACAACAATAAAATCTTACCATTTGTGACAACATGGGTGGACCTAGAGGGTATTATGCTAAGTGAATTAAGTCAAACAGAGAAAGACAAATACCATATGATTTTACTTATATGTGGAATCTAAAGAACAAAATAATGATACAAACAAAACAGAAACAGACTGATGGATACAGAGAGCAAACCAATGGTTGCCAGATTGGGTGATGGTTGGGGATTGGGTGAAAAAGGTGAAAGGATTAAGAAGTACAAATTGGTAGTTACAAAATAGTTACAGGGATGTAAACTACAGCATAAGGAATATACTTAATAATATTGTAATAGCTATGTATCGTACCTGGTGGGTACTAGACATATTGTGAGATCACTTTGTAAATTACAACCACTATGCTGTACACCTGAAATGAATATAAAATAATATTGAATGTCGACAGTAATTGACAAGTAAAAAAGTTTCCTTAAAAAAATATATAT